GGACTAGCTATTGTGAAATGAAGTATTGTTATTGTGTATATAATCATAATGTTGAAATCTAAATAGCCACAAAGTTACTAAAAAACTAATGCTTACCAAGAGTTTCAACAGCTGGAAGTCGTCTAACAATCGCATTTCTTGCTGCCATACGCATTTGGCCAATAGCTAGAGTGACAGTTACTACAATAGGAAGACCTTCAGGGATTGCTGCGACTGCCAAACTATAAGGGATTTGTGTGTGTGTGAGATAGAGAGACAGAGGAAGGAACACTTTGAATAAAGAGTAGTGAGAATTAAATTATTGTTAATATAAAGTAATGTTCCATTACAGTTTGAAGATGAACTAAAGATTTACAGGGGTTTTCATATTTGATATTGAAATAACACAAATAATTGAGCATATTGATCTCGCAAGTAGAAAAATTTGTAAATGGTACTTATCATTGTTTGGAAATGTCCAAATTTGATTCTGAGGGCGTAAACCCTTACTACGACCAAGACAGTCAAACTGATAATTTTCTCACTGGACTAAGCAATAGTTAATTATTCATAAATAATGTAGGATCTAGCACAAATATATACACATCGGCCGAAGATGGAACAAACTGTATATATTAGTAAAATGAAATGAATTGAACAACTCTGTTATACTATAATATGAAAAGATTTTTAAGTCATACAGTTATGACACAAATGAAACAGGTAGACAAAACAAAAATCAATTTAACAGTACAGATTTCGAAAAAATTATTAAACTGTGTAGTGATTACGAAACTAATCATCGTATGGAGAGGAGGAAATAAATAAAATGGCTAATATAATGATAACCAGCAACTTGACCACCATTTAAATCTTATGAGTTATCAACACTCACTGCAGTTTAGCAAGCGGGTAACGGTCGGTGCACTAGACATTAAATTACATCAAATGGGAGCTGACGATATGAACAAGGTACTCAAGCAAAAAGTCCGTTAAGTAAATTCCTGGTATATTGATATATAGACAAGATAATCATAACTTTTCTTGAAAGATGATTTATTTCCATCAGTGGTTTTCGCTGTTAAAATACTTTGGCATGAATTATTGTCACCTTTAGTATGACCTCATATATGTATATGCAATAAATAATAACGAAATCAATGGATACACTTACCTTACGCCAATAGTTAACAATTCTAAAATATGGCGTCCTTGAAATAGACCAATAATCACTATACTACTAATAATAATTAAAGAGATAGCAGATAAATGCTTTCCCAACTTATCCATACTCTTCTGAAGTGGTGTACGTGGTGCCTAAACGAAATATGGAATTAAATCAATAACAAGCAATAAACATTAAATGATGAGGTACAGCGAAATAAACTTATTTATAAAAATATGTAGTTGTCACTTTGATAATTGATTCTTAAACTGATCTAAAGAGGGAAACTGTGATTTTCTTTTAAACAGATGACCCCCGAATGCCCTGGTATGGCCGAGAGTGGGGTGGGCCTGCTCTCCCTCTCGAAATGCTCTCACGCTGCCACGCGTATACAGCCTCTGCCAGGGAAGTCCTACTCACTGCTTTCTCGTGGCGGGGGTGTTGTTTACGAAATTGAGAGGACGAAAAGAGAATGTCCGCGTTTTAACCGGATTCCAAACCAATGGTGCACATGGGCTCCAGTATCCTAAGGGAACAAATGGCGTATGAACCAATCGTTGGTCACCGTCTACCATGGGACTGCATCTCCTTACGATGCTCCACTGCCTTGTGGATCAGACCTTCAGGTCGAAGGCTCGGGGTGTGGCCCCCTAAGAAAACCACCTGTTTCGGTCTGGGCACCCGGGCAGTATCAAAGCCCACACACACAAATATGGTGTGGCGCATATATATTTGGTACCCTTTTGTACAAATATTTATATGTTGAAATAATAAAAAAATAACCAAGAAAACAGATATTGACGACGACTAGTAAGTAGAATGATGTTGAAATGTTTGTTATCTATTTGAAGAATTTGCAATAGGGTTATCAAACTCTTGATAAACACATAAAGTGGCAATAATTGTTTCAATATGATTAAAAAGTGTCCCCTACTTCAGTGATCACTAAGAATACTGATAGTTGTTTGAGTGATAGCTTATATAATTCAAATCATTAGCAGCCAAATGACTTAGGATTTATAATAGAGGATCATTTATGCAGCTAACGATTACTGATTGTTGTCAATGTTATGTTGCTATTAGACTAATGAGGACACCTGATGCTCTGAAAACGCTGAGAAGCACCTTATCAAATTAGCATTCACTAGAAATTTCGCCAGAAACATTCAGAAAGTGAAAAGTCACATGTCCAGTTTCTGATTGGATGATTACCCATACTGCTACTATGTTTAGTAGCGTTCCAGAATTTCCCGTAGACCCAAGGCCATCAAAAATACTATAAAAACCATAGATTTTCTGTACATAAGCAAAAACCTTTGGAATAATGTGTTTCTTCCATATTTCGCACCTTTTCTCTCGTGTTCAAGTTGCTATGTAGATTTAGCCTGGGAGTTACTAGAAGAGCTTAGGAACCAAATCTGGCGTTCGAGTAGAAGACTTAGCACAATCATATTAGTGATATAACTGTAGCAATGGTTGCTGTATTAGTAGATTGGTTACTAAGAGTATGTAGTAAGTGAACCAAATGTAATTTTATTGAACTACATTTTGGAGTTTGTTATACGCACTTAAGGAAATATGTAACAGATTGAAGATTAGCATTAACAAAGCTCTCGGAAACTGAGAGTTATACGGAACAATACTTGTGCAGTACTTTATTTGGTTTTAAAACATAGTGTTGTAAATAAATATATTTACACAATGCTCATAAAACTAAAGTAATAAATTAATGAATTAAAATATCTTAAAACAAGCAGGAGGACAGAAAATGAGCAACAGAAACAGAGGAAATAATGTGAAGAGATATGGCAAGAATATGTTGAATTCAAATTAATAAAGAATAAATTATTAAGAAGCTAGACAAGTTATATTTCAGATATCTGAACGTCAGCTATCACTTGTTTAAAAACCTTGTAGTGGATTTAATTTTCATTAAAGTGAACCGCTCGCCGATGAAGGAAATCTGGACATGTTCTAGGATATAAACTCATATTTATTGTCGTTTAAAGATCCCCGTCATATTAAAAGACTAATATTTGAACGAAGAATATTCTTTTCGATAAATTCTCTTCAGGTTCTACAATTATATATCCAAATTAATGATCCGAAAAATGGCCAGGTTAAGGGCAAAGTACATCGTTTAAAGCATGTGAATTTAGGATTGTGATAAACAAGATACAATAGAATTGTTAATGTTGATATGACTCATATAGAATATTAACTTGAATCTGCGTATATGTTAAGTGAAATTTTAAGATCCATGATCAGAGTAAATATAGTTCAAATAGGGTGACCTAATTTGATTATGGCCTTTCTCAGTCAATTGTATTGTCTCTGTTATCTGTATTCATAAATCTTTGCTTTATTATTATTATTATTCGTATTATTGGTTAAACATCATTAATCTCCCCCATACATTATTCATTCACTTCGCATTCATCCCTCCGTATTACGTCTTATTTATTTGATCGAATTGTAATTGCACTATTATTTCTGTCTCACCCTATTTGACCCATATTTACTCTGATCATGGATCTTAAAATTTCACTTAACATATACGCAGATTCAAGTTAACATTCTATATGAGTCATATTAACATTAACAATTCTATTGTATCTTGTTTATCACAATCCTAAATTCACATGCTCTAAACGATGTATTTTACCCTTAACTTGGCCATTTTTCGGATCATTAATTTGGATATATAATTGTAGAACCTGAAGAGAATTTATCTAAAAGAATATTCTTCGTTCAAATATTAGTCTTTCATATTTATTGATTGGTTGGTACCAGTTTGCTTCTGTTCTATTTTGTTTAGTGGGTCGAATGTATCAGTATGTAGATCGAGTGGTACATTATTTGTCAATACTAAATCCTGAGACCATGTTCCATTTTCATAATGAACTGTACTGTCACGTACACACACACATGACAATCATTTTTAACCGACGATTTATATAAAAACAAACAGAATGATGCCAAAACACACACTGTGATTTCAAAATTTAAAATAGAAATATTCTTATTTTTTTAAACACTCGAAATAGCATAAAGTCCATCTATCATGATAAAACAGATATTTTGACTCTTGAATAGGTTATTTTACAACAGAAATATGCTAAGACGATATTTATAGATCAGTGTAAGGTAGATTTCGTAGCTCACAATACAATGGACTGAACAAAAGTTTATTATAGTAACTAGATAAAAGCAAATAAACAAATATAAAAACAATCCTAGCATAATCAGTGGAATAGTTATAGAATGTAGCTATTAGTAGTGCTACTTTTCTGTTTCATTTAGATTCCATATAATGACCTTGATAGAATGACTAGTTTATGTACACAAGAGAAATAATTTTAGCCGTGTTCTTTGAACTAGACTTGTATTGTGGTTGTGGAATTACTTTTTGCTTCCTTTACATAGAAGTAAGCTGGTTATATTTATTCTACGACCCCATTCTGATGGCTTTATCTGTAAACGGTCATCTTTGGAAGCTTCATCTTTTTACTTCTGTTGACCACTTAGTTCGTCAGACCTCTGGAAAATTTAGAGAACAAGTTACACAAGACGAAATAACTAAGCTACAAAATATTTCCTATCATTCGACACAAAAATAATGAGTGAAAATGACGGTGAATATAAAATTCATTAAGCCAGAAGATTACTTGTTGGAATTCCGGAGACCATTTTTCTCACAAATTGACCTCAACTAAAAAACCATTGAGAAAATCATTCAACATCTGAAAATTTTCTTGTATACCAGTTTGGTCATTTGAAATGTGTCAACGATAAACCTCATATACAAGATCAAACTTAGGATCTTCATGTCTTAAAGCGAGTAGGATATATTTAGACCACTGAATTAGAATTCCGATGGTCGACATCATTAATAGTAATCATTTTGCGTTTGAAAATGAATTACTTCCCGAAAACTGGACCCCAATCAGAAAGTTTTTAATGATTACCGACTTGAATTTTAAAATCAAGCATGCACCACTGAATTAAGAACTATGAAACACGGATCCCGTAAGAATACATAAATACCCACGCCTTTTTCCTTGTATCGTCGTCGGTTGGAGTGCGAATAAAACTTTTATTTTGTTTTCTCAACACTTACGGGGTGGATCAGAAACCATTCGAGAAATAGTACAATTTCATTAGAGCAGTACATAGTGCTCTGTTCATCAATGAGTTGATATTTCAATTTGAGTAGCTAGAGGCGAGTTATGATAGCTTTTGATATGGATAAACATATTTATTTACTTGTTAATTATAGCAAAGAAAAATAATGAATTTAGTACAGGTTTCAATACTTACTTCTTCTGAATGCATCATACGGAAAACTTCACCAAATTCCGAATGTTCTCCAGTTCCAATAACCAAACCTTTTCCAGTACCCGAACAAACTAATGTTCCCATAAATCCAATATTAATTAGATCATGACATCCACGTAGACGTTCAACAGCTTTGTTATCGCCTATATTCACTAAAGCATTATTACATATGGAAAAAAAGTTTTTCTTTAAAAAAGTTAACAAAACCCAACCTAGCTACAAGGAGTTTATCAAGATGAAAGGTTGAATGTGTGTTCAGTTAAATTTCAAACAGCTTCTTGGTATCCCTTGCTTTGCAATGGTACCGCCAATTAAGATCAATCTGTGACGAACACAGCGTACAGATAAAATCGATCTCCACAAAGCAGCTTTAACTAGACTATAATAAACATCACAACGGTTACCTAGTTCAGGATGCTCCTGAAGTTCTAATGAGAAGTCATAACTGGTTGAGTTTAGACATATCAGAAGTGAAATAGTTGTCACAAATAGGATTAGATGCTCGTCTCACCACGTTGTAAATTGGTTGGAGTGGGAACAGTACCACTTAACGCCGACCCAATGATCCTAATGATTAAGGGTTCTCCGTGAGACTTTGATTGATCAAGTTCTTTTATAGAATTTAATAAACATCCTGAGCCATATTTGAAAAAAATCTATCTGAGGCTGAGTGAAGACAGAAGGATGTATTGTGCTTATTATTTATAATTACCGTTGACAGCAGTATTCACTCAATATTGGTCAAACCATGCTCCCAAGTCATTTTACTAAACTCCTAGCCTTGTTACGAGAAAAAAGTAAATCACGCTTCAATCATCAACCTACAACAACACAACTAAGAAAATGCAACAAGATTGAGAACATTAAGTAATAAACATTTTACTCTGTATGTATTATTACTAACCATTTTGTGTCGATGAAAATCTAACTTCAGAAGTATTAGAAATCGGGAAATGTGTACAAAGAACCTCTGAAGATTTGGGAACGGCTTCAGTTTCTCCAGTCAAACTAGACTCATCCATTCGTAAATCGGTCAGATCGAAAAGTCTTAAATCTGCTGGGAGACGATCACCAACTGATAAACAGACAATATCACCAGGAACAAGATATGAAGCTAGAAATGTATGCATTTCACCACTACGTAGACTAGATGATATATATATATATATATTTATATATATATTTGGATAGAAAACAAACAAAAAATATTTTGAGTAGACAATGCATATTACAGGTTAAAATAATAAGTATATTCATCTGGGATACTAATTCTGTTTCAAATTAAGTCACATACTTCACAGAGGAATGAAATATTAGAATTTTACTGCAGTTGACAAACAGCTTGTTCCGTTAATCTGGAGGTTGGTCGGTCGTTGTTCATGGATCATGTGGTGGTGCTGTCCAGAAAGACAGAGAGAGCTTCACAACTAAACAGTCCAATTCAGAGACCACAACAGCGTATCTCCTTACTAACCCTGAAAATATTGTTTTGGCCTGCTTGTCGATTTCCTCTTGCTAAGCGCTAATTTGAAATATACCAATTTGAGCCCGAAACACATTTGTTTATTATTAACTAACTGACTAACTAATATGAACAATTAGAGTAATTAGTAAATCTATTACATTATAATAGTGTGAACCAATTACCAAACAATAAATAGGTGAGATTTTAAACTATAACAACGATTATAGTCAATATTTTATACGATAAAATACACAAGTTTTTTTAAAGATTTATTTACTAATCAGACTGTAATGAATTTAACACCTACAGATCGTATATATATCCATTTGGTTAGTAATACTGATTATTTTAACACCATAGAAAATTTTTTGATTGAGATCATAAATCGACTGATGTTAGACCACTACCTCAGTACAAGTACAGATAGTCGCGCAATTTCGTGGATTGGTTGAGGTTAGACATTAACACCGTTGGATTCCAGCTCAGTGGTCTAGAGGTTAAGTGTTCGCACACGAGACAGAAGGTTCTGGGTTCGAATCCCGGAAGCGGGATCGTGGATACGAACTGCTGAAGAGTTCCACAATAGCACGAAATGATCGTTCAGTACTTCCAAGTCTTCAATGGTGGTCTAACATCAATCGATTCATGATCTCAATCAAAAACTTAATAATTTCCACAACCTTATACTGATGATAGAAAAGATGACAAAGTATTACAACGAAAAGTATATCAGTGATTACATCCCATTTTAGTCAAGTGAAACATTGTGCATTAAATATTTCACTGTTCATTCAAAGTTATGGTGTTACTAGCAATCGGTTAATCAGTTAGCGATAAACGTGTCCATCACAAAAGTTAGATTGCTATCAATCATTTTGCACTTTTCATTTTCAAGTCTGATTGTTTATATGTTTGCTATCTATTAATTGGAATATAATCATAACTTCATTGAATATTTCGATATATAAATAAATGACACTGTTGCATTATGTCTCCTGACCAGTTACCAATGAGCAAATGACAAGTAAAACCATCTTGGTTATTTAGCCTAACATAAAACCAGTATATATATATATATATCCTGGGAAAAGAACTGACGATCTAACCAAGTGATTAGCTTTATTAAACAATTAGTGACTGAGATTGTTAGCTAATCACGCAAGTCCTGTAACTCTAATAATTAGAATAAATAACTAGACCTCATTGAAACAAATTCCTAATCAATTCTGCCAACTATTTATACACTAAACATAATGAATGTTATTCAGGAGAAGTGGCAATAGCGACGTAATTCAACAACCATGTACGAGTTCGTAAGCTTGGGGCTATGAAGAAAATTTTCTTTCTATATGTGGGTTGGTGACGAAGCAAATTAGTGAGGATGTGAAACTTTGAGAACTATGCTCTGGGGTGTCGGGACATATTTTTCTAGTGTTTATCAATTATATGAGTTACGATACTTTTGTAATCATCTCTTAAACATAAACTTTCATTTACCTCATGAATCGTTGTTACTATATATTTTACCGTTCATAAACTATGGTAATTTGACCACTAATCTTGTTGTAATCAATGTCCTAGTTATGCATAGATTGAGGTCAATTGTTTACAATTTACCATAATCTTGTATTCTATGTATATAATCACGTTTTAAGGTCTGAATAATAAAAGACAGCAAAAGGTACTCAGTTAATATTCTAGTGTTCTGACTGGTAGTTAGAAGGTAGAGTTGTGTGAGCTATCGATCGTTAGCATGCACATGAACCAAGTTTTTGAAGTTATCGTTAGAAAAATTGACAGGATAATAGTAACGGACACTACTCCACTGTCCCTCCGAAAGTGGGTGAAGTGTTCAAACCTACGCTTACCAGGTTGTACAGGATTCTTAATGAACAACACACAAACTCATCTTTTAAAAATGATAACAGAAAAATAACAGCCTGTTACATATCATGTTAGTGCGAAAACAAAAGGAAAACTACAGTTATGATGAACAGTCAGTACTTTTAGGAGGATCATTGGGTATTTAACTGTGGTTTAAAGTGATAAAAAATGTATGCCACAAATTAATTAGCAAAAATTAGTGGTAAAGGGAGATATGTAACATTGGTAGATTTATAATCTCATCAATCATTTAGGTGTATATAGTATTGGTAAAAAAAATGTGGTAGGATCTACGAAGGAAATCAGGTAAATAGGCACTGATATAGACAAAATAGACTTTGTATCCGAAAGATGAGTTTAATGCATACAACAAGAGAGCTGTTCAGTATATTCGTGTCATTCTAAAATATGAATTAATGAAAATGAAGACGCAGATGAACTAAACATGGAACCTTGGGGTAAAATTGTATTAGTGCAAGTTATCGCACTTAGAGAAAGTACAGTCCTCGAGTATAAGCATACTCAAGCCACGATAGTGTATCTGAGGTAGATAATAATTTAAATCGACTAGTATTTACCTCAGCGTCTTCAGTTAGTTCAATTCCGCGTCAATGACCGACTTCCTCATGTCAGCCTGGTGCTCTGAGACTGAAGTAATGGACCAGCAGCAAAAATAATCGACTTCAACAACTAGGTTTTTGGTACGAACCACTGTTCCACCCATACTAGTTTCGGCAACCCGCTAGTATCAACAACCCTGACATCAAAATTATGGATTAAAGTCTAGTACGTTAATCAGTGTTAGAGCAGTGAGCTGCCGTATCATGCACCCAACCGTAACCTTAATTACTCGACGATTCTACCACACTCCAGTTTGCCTTTAGGATACGCTATATATATATTAACATAACTTTATTCACATAATTGTGGACACTATATTTTATTGATAGCGTTTTATTCCTTTTTAAAAAGTCAAATGGACATACATAATATTCCAAAAACGTGTTGCAAAAAATACAGAAGATTTATGAAGAAAAAATGTTACAGTTGGATGAGAACATGATTTGGCGGTTTTATATATTTTTCCTCAATAACTAGTCTATCAATTAGATATTTATTCATATGATTCGGGATATGGTATTGAATACATATAAATTTAGTCACTATCTTTGATAATTATAAAGTGATCCCTAGAATATATGCGTAAAACATAATTGTGAGGACAAATATGCAAGTACATCACTAAAGCAATAAGATATATGGTTGGTTAAAAACTGGTACTTTTATTCGGACGACATATTAAAATCGATGAGAAAAGCCTAGATCAACACGTTTGATACTATTTCATATATATCGGCAAAGTTTGATTACAACATGAAGAAAACTGACCAACTGTAAGTTATTTAAGAACAACAATGCAACAGGTTAGCACAAATGAAAGTAAGCCGAGAGTCACTTCCTTTGGTTATTACATTAAATACTCTAAGTCATTGTTGTTATCGAAAATAAAGTATGCCACTTAAATAAGAAGCAGTTTAATAAACAGATGAACAGCACTGAAATGTTTTCGCTACAGCAAATGATATAGTTTTGCTTAGTGAAAACACTGACAAAATGCAATCTTCTGACTACTAAACAACAATGCAAGTATGTTTGGGATACGTTTCTCGCCCTCCAAATGCAAAATTTTGCCTCAGAATCGGCCTGCGTCAGTGCCTGGATTAATGATGCGGTATGAGATAGTTGACCGTACCAACTCCTTTACTCATCTTCGAAGTCTCATCAGTCCTGACGGGTTGGTATTTGACTAAATATCGGCACAGAGTAAGAAGGCTTAATCGGCTTCAGTCGAATTGCTTCACTTGTGGCTCAGGACAGATATCCGTCTGCCAATCAAAGGACCAGTTTACTGCTCATCAGTTCACTCTGTTCTACTTTATGGATGTGAAACATGAGGATTAAGAGTAGAGGATATTTGCAGGGTAATGGTATTCAATCATAGTTGTCTACGAAGAATTTCTTGTGTATTTTGAGACCAAAGAGTAAGGAGTGTCTAGATCAGGAATATAGTGCTAGGTGAAGGTGGGAAATCGGATGAAGAGGCAGTAGATTTTCATGAACCAACGTGGTTGTGACATGTGTTGCGTATGTCCAACCATCTTCTACCTTGATGGGCGATATCTGGTATATGAGTAGGATGGGAGAACGTTAGGGGAGTCCAAACCAAAACATGGCATCAGTCGATGAAGTCACTGGCAACTGGGTTCACTCATGTTAATAAGCATCGGCCACCTGCTTAGGGATCGTGTGATTACCATAACCAGGGGTTAAATACTTCGATTGAAACAGCTCAAAGTCGTTTGCAATGGTGCAGGTCCATCCATTTTTTGTCCTCCTCCGAATTCTAGGCTTCTGAATTCCTTATTATTTTTCGTGTTTTGCTAATTCATATATCTTCGATGCCTAATGTTTTCTATTACTACTGATATTGTTACTACCTCTACTACTGTGGGATTTGCCCTAACAACTTTATATCGCTGTGCCAATGGGGTGTGGAAGCTTGAACCGATGTACATACGTACCAGGTTCTACACCGTGACTGACTGCAGATGGACAGAAGCGACGGAACACTTGATTACATTATGAACCTAAGTGATAGGCTTGATTTTAAGCCGCTAACTGACAGGTAACTCCAAGATGCATTTTGGGTGAAATATTTTATGCATAAATAACAGTTACCAATCCGTACTATATATATTTACAGTTAGTTAGTGATTCTGTATTTTGAAATTTATTCAGTTAGTATCTATAACTTACTCCACAAGCGGATATAGGATTTTAACCATCTTAACTATATCCAATATTTTATTAAGTCGTCTGGGCGGGAACAGAAACGCGTATCAATATAAAACTACCACAGAAACAAGTACAGACTAAGACTTATAGTAGCAACCTTTACATAATACCCAAGAAAGAACACTGTATCATACCATTCTGATTATATTTACTTTAAAATCTCATCAGATAAGAAAGCTTGGTTGATAACAAAAACCAGAAGGAAGCTGTTGTTATAGTAAGATAGTATTATGATATTTGGGTCTGGCAACTTATACTAACGTACACACATACCAAGTTATACGTCGGGTTTGACTGACTAGTAAAAGCCTCAAGCTAATCTCTCGGAGTAACCGATAGTTAAGTTTTAAGAAAATCAAGTTCCTCAGAAAATATATAGAATTAGCAGTGAAAAAGAAGTATTGGAAAGTATTTAAATAACCCGACAAACGAGTACTTATACTGGCTTAATTACGTATATCTTTAAGATATTTACTTTCAAATAGTTAATTGCTAATTTATCACTTCGTTGGTAAGCTAATCGTGATATCCGACTGAGATGATGACCTATCCTAAATGATATTACTAATCCAAGGAAACTTATAACCAATATTTAACGAAATCTTACCAGCTACATTTCGGTGGCATCAATTTTTGTAAAGCTTCTAGGACTTTCTCTGATCTATAACTCTGAATAAACGCGACAGTAACCACTATTAAAATTGCCTAAAAAGGATTAATGGGTATTTACTAGGAGGAATAATGAAACTTACAACAGTAATGCTAATGGTATCATCATATTGCTTCATAATAAGACTGATACATGCTGATGAAAGTAGTAACAGTATCATAGGTTCTTTGAATTGTTCGAGATATTTCTTATATAAAGGATCTGGGTTTGGGTGTTTCAACTCATTTGGACCACATAACTTAAGTCGATGTTGAGCTTCAGTATGATCAAGACCAGTTTTTAAGTCAACCTAAGCAGTAGTGAAATAAGAAAGGAGAATGAGTAATTTACTTTGAAATAGTTGGCAAGTTCATCGATAGATTTTACTGCTGCATCTCTAGCGTTAATATGCGCTTGACCACCAGGAATCATTGTTAATCGAAGGCAGTCTGTATAAAATAAGGATTATCATGTGTTTAAATGTGGATACTTTTTATGTACAACTGTTAGCGTGAGTAACCCCAAACCTTAAAGTGTTAAAGTGGTCATATTATATATCGGAATACAGCAGATAATCTCATACCTGAAATGAAAAGTAAAAATAACAAGAACTGTGATTATTTACGATATAAAAGTGGAGGTCGATGTACCAAATGATCTGAGTCAAAAAGGCCACTGCTAACACATAAGTGAGAAGCATTTTAGTGTCCAAATTGAGGGCTAGAATGCCAATGCCTCAGGAGAAAATTGTTTACATGTCAAGTCACGACACCAATACTTATATTGAAGTGACTTGGAATAAAATCAAATACTTCACAAAAAGAGAAGTGTATATAGTATTTTATCACTAAAAGCATAAGGTTGGAAATAGTTGTTTCCCAAACCGGTGGAGGGACAGTCAGTGAGCATAACTATGGGAGAAGTGGTTAAACTGTAGATTTTACACTTTGTAACCACTAGTAGGTTGAAAAACCGAATGGTATTTGGAAGGCATCTACGATCAGTAACAGCTACGAAGCTAGATATCAATAATATCGAAAGGTAATAAGTGATTGACTAATTAAAGCTGTAGGTATTAGTATATTATTTAGGTGCTTCTACATTATAAACAGTGGTCAACTGTCAACCTTCCCTGGTCTTACCTATATCGTCGTTGAGCCTCCTTATCTTAACGACTCGAGCCGAATGCTTCATTTGAAAGTTTGCAAACACTAGCATACTGAGTAGGTTTGGTTGTAAAAGTGTGACCTACGTCAACGAGTTTTGGTTTATCAGAAACCACCTTAATATTTGCATGGTTGGATGAATATAAAGTTAGGCTCTATTTTGACAATCACATAGTGGTTAGTTTACATTTTTAATACGAAAAGGCTGATAGTGAGATTTAATATATATGCACTAATGATTGTCAACCCCTCCCCCCTCAGAAGAATTATCAGTTAAATACCATGGAAAATTACCCGTAACACCTTGCACGAAAAGCCTGACCTTGAACTGACACATTTTGATTTTTACGTGGCTATTCAAAATCCAATAAAATAAGCATGGTTATACAAGATTGAGCTGTTCTGAAGTCGTGCTGTTGGGGTGGAATGAAGGTTATGAATAATAAGTAATCTTGCATGCCATCACATATCAGGGACTCCATAATTTCTGATGGTATAGAGAGAAGTGCTACCGGTCGATAGCTCGGAGGTTCGCCGCATCGACCTCCTCTGAAAATTTTTGTGATGTGATTGATCTTCCAAATTTCCTGTAATGTGTCTCGGCTTAGCGAGTGTAAAAACACCACGCCAAGTGGTGTTGCCAGGATTAAGGATGCTTCTCTCAGTACATCAGTACGAACCATATCGTGTCCAGGAGAAATGTCTTTTTTGGGAGCTGCATTTTCTGGTACACCAGGTCAGCGCTCAGGTTAACTTCGGAAAGTCCTGTGCAATTGCTGATGAAGCTTTCATCAATATAGTTAGTATGGGTCAGCTGAAATGTCTGGGAGTATTGTTCAGCCAAGAGGTAAGCGGCGTCACCGTCGTTATTGGTCGGGCCATTAGGACCTAGCATTTAGAAACTCCAGTTTCGGCTTATCAAATAGAAGCTGCATGATGGAAAAAGTCTTCCGGATTGGAGAAAAATTTGTCTATAGGCTTTATCTGGTACTAAGGCCTGTCTTCTCTTATTGCCATTGTGCATATGTTCCTTATTTTTTGTACTGCCTGTGTGCGCCATTTTTACCAGTTTGTTTGTATTCGGCCCAGCAGCGCATTTTACGGCTTAGCAAACGAAGAGTGCGGCTCTTGATGACCGTAGGTTGTATGTAGATTTTGGGGACCGTTAGAGGAACAGACTGCCTTGCAGCACATAAGATCGTGTGTAGTAAGAAGTCCCAATGAGCATCCACATCAAGTTGAGGGTGAACTTCCCAGTCCACCTGCTGTAGACTGTCGTGTGAAGTCAATATATTTAACTGTCTGAAACTACAGTGGCTGTTATTGGTGAGATGTCTTAGCTAAGGTTCGTTGATAAAACTGAAAGCTATGACGGCGTGATCGTTTTTGCATAATGGAGCCAAAATTAAAAGGTTGTACATTATGAATTTCTCGTTTGTAAATACTCAGTCTAAGCGCGATAGCGTCTGACTGTTTCTCCAACGAGTTATCGACTTGGCAATTTCGAATAATCCCAGATCTTTAATGAGGTTGAAGAACCGAGCTTCAGTAGAGTTCCCATTTCAAATGTACGCATGTTTCACAAAATTGAATTTAGGAAGTTTGAAGCCTCCTAGAGTCAGGATATGAGTGAATCCGAAACGAGTATAGCGGGATAAGTCTTCCAGCATACGATTATCGTATTCAATTTCAGCAGTGGGCTTCCTGTGGATGACTCCAACTAGACGCCTCAAGGTGGTAGACAATCTTACTGAACATCATGCGGACTCATCAAGACCGACACACTCTTGGTTGTGCACTTGATATACTTCTAGGCAAGACCGCAAGTATAAGGTTAATCCGCCCTCAATGCTGTTTTCCTATCGTTGCAGAATAAAGACATCTCGAGTATTGTTAGCTTCTGGTCCGTAAATTGAGAAGATATCCATGTTTCAGATATTCCTATCAGATGAGTATTATCAGCATTACTGAGTTCACGCAGTTCATCCAATTTGTTCGGCCTTCATGTATAGGCAGTTTATGCTTTCAGTTTGAAGCGCGTGAGTTTCCTCGTCCTGTTGATCTGTATGCGTCTTATGTCGATCGAAAGGTGACCTACCTACACAGGGTTTTCCGAGTTGATAGCCCTTGTTTTCACTACGGTTCTTCATGATCTTAGCAGTCCACAATTATAACACTCAGCTCCAAGTTGCCTTTGCGCTTGATTCTGTCATCATATGGATGACAACCGTCGTCTGTTGGCAGGACATGCTTCGAGAGTTTCAGCCGTCGTACGAGGGGATGGGAAGTTTATCTTCATTAGCCGGGGTCTAGAATCCTCATCCTTCTTAATTGGTTTCACTAGTCGTTGAGTAAATATGTTTCTGAGCTTCATAGACTGCCTGATTAATTTCCATTTTCGAACATCAAAAGTTTGTGTTCTAAGGGTTCGTGTTTTCTAGTACACCTTGCACAATCATATTTCTTCCTCGGAAAAACGTCTTGCGCGATTCCTTAGAAATGTTCCTGGTGAGATTGACCTTAGAATGCGGTGTACCAGGCAACGTTCTTACATTCCGAGCTGATTTCAGCAATTGACTAGCCGGTAAATCATCCTCTACGTTGATAGCGTTAGTCAGCGTTTAGAGAAACAGTCCTGGGTTATTTTTATGCTTGGAGTTTTTTCTCTGAGTGAGACGTGACCGTCAAAAGCTCTAGATAGGGAAATTCGAGCTTCCCGTTAAACTCTTCTCAGAGCATTCTATCATTTTTGTCCTGCAAACTAAGGGGAGCTCACAGCTGTCCCAAAAGTCCATAATTATTAGAGAATCATCGGGAACCGCGGTCATTTTCTTGGGTTTTTGGTTACCCTTAAGTTGAGGAGCTTGTTGTTTGGTGGTTGAAGTGCGTTTAAGATTCCTGTGTTCTTTGCTGACTGGTTGGACAGTCTGAGTTGTAGTCTGTACAGCGAAACCACAAGTTGATTTCAATTCAACACTTAGAATGTGCTGCCCGGTCGTTTTCAAATTTGTTGACGGAGATCAAGTCGCCCACAGAGTTTTTGGGGATCGCCATTGCATTCAGGGATCCTGTGCTGGGAGACTCAAGTTTTCTGGGCCAATCTAGTACCGTCGATGTTATGATGGTGCTATGCTTTATCATGTCCCCGCTTGTGTTGATACATGTTCTGTTGATACTAGAGTTGTCGAGGACCCTCTTCTTTTTGCACTGCGCGTCTATGTTTACCCATAAAGTACGCGTTTCCAAGAGTATAGAAGGAAAAGCTTGATAAACAATCAAGCCGCCTCATACAGTGCGTTTACGCTTATTAACGTATGCATTAGACAACAGTCAGCAGTAACACAAGCCGCAAAATACAACGATCTTAAGATGGAAACCAGAAACAGATAGTTTAACCCACGACAATTATCGCACTTTGATCCCCTGCTGTGAAAACGTGTTTATTTAGTAATTATCCATCTTGGACTTTGAAGTTTATTATTTATTTAATGAGCTTGCATTAAATGAATGGACGTTTTGGCAAGCTTATTGTTATTTATGTACTGCTAGATGTTTTGGTAGTCTAGCCTATGCACTTAATTATTTCTAGTCAGTTTGTAAGACGTTTGTTGGTTTGTAACTCATGTAGTCTGTGTGACTGTGTTACTCACGACGCAGTAGGGTTTTTCATGTTGTCTGCTATCACACCATTAGGTGAGAGGTTGGTTGATCGCACTTCAAAAATGATAAATAAAAACTTATTATTTTTGAGTGAAGAATATATGGTGGTCAAAAGAAGTGAATTAATTAACCAATTGACTGGTAACTCTAATGGTTTGAACAAACAGAATCGCAAAGGTGATAGGTATGAATGAATGATAGGAATAGAGGTAGGAACAAGCCAATGCTATGTGATAATGATAATGGTAGGTTAGTCACGAGATATCCATCAGGTACAGCTAGTCTAATTGGGAGGTGGCAATCCATAGACGAATACGTATTTGTCAAGTCTCTTCCTGAAGCTATCCTTTTAGGAGGCTGTAGTTGCTGAGGACGGGAGAGTACTCTAAATAAGAGCGACTCGTAATGTACCTGGATTTTCACTCCTTGATATTGAACTCTTTGTTTAACGTCCAGTATTTTTGTGTTATGTTAGTAGAGAGGCGGATTAAAGTACTTACATGAGCTAGTGCAGTCTGCAATCAGGTCTCATAAAATGAACTGGGCAAATTAAAAGTATGAATAGACTGTTCACTTGTGAAATAATTTGAAATTATTTAACGGAGCGCAGCGCACTATATAAAAGTGTTAAAGAGGAACCCTCGAAAATAAATATTGTTTGATATCTGAGGAATCTAACAAACCTAACTAGAGAGTGAATACATATTCTGGAATTTGTGTCAAATCCAGTTTTCACTATCCAGAATCCGTGAGGTTGCCAAGCAATAAGCTAGTGAATCGAAAGTAACAGAGAATATATTCAGGTGGACGTAGAACACTCTGTTATTCTTGGATTGTTAACTGCAATCTTAAAGCAAAGAAACTGCCCCTCTGTAATATACTCAGCAGTATAATCGATAGTTTCCAGAATCGTATGATGAATTTTCAACAGGAAATAACTTAGAACCTCGCACACAATTCTGTAGTGTTTTCTTAAAATTCAGAGAGATACGACCACAGCTTTGACAGTCACTTATAATGTGATATAATAGCCAGTTAAAAAGACTCAAAGATACTCTAGTTGCATATTGAACGAGTTTGTCTACTAATTATAAAACGCTGGTTGTGATCTTATTTACAACGTGCAGTCCAATCATGGTCCCATTTAGGTACATGTCTGGCACAAGATGAAAAGCCAAACAGAGAGGTCCAAAGCACCATGGCATCTCAATGATGCTGAAAGAGGGGAGGGGGGGAGCACATAAGAATGTTGATACAAACACGAACCTTTATATATGTCCTCACAATTGATTGGTCACTGAGCAGTGATCAATGTCATATGTCAGGTCCTTCATAGTGCAAGTCGAATTCTGTCCATCAAGTTGCAATGTGACCATTGGTCTAGGTAACTCGAGATCGCGGCCCGATAGCTCAGTGGTAACAGCTCTTACTGTGAAGTCAGGTGACACGGGATCGAATCCATGAGCGTGTATCAGTTCCCTCAAGATAAAAATTTTCTGAAGAGTGCCAGATAGCACGGAACTTAGGTCCAGGGTTTCCTATCGACTACCTCGAACCATAATCTCCTCACATATGCTCGGTGTGCCTTGATGGGGAAGCATATCCACCTTATCGAGAGTGATAATTTGACAGGTAGAAACAGTTAGCCCCCGTTAGACACGTCGGGAATCTTTGTGA